AAAAACGGTTTGAAGCTCAACATCAAAAAAAACTAAGATCATGGCCACTGGTCCCATCACCTCCTGGGAAATAGAAGAGGAAGATATGGAGGCAGTGACAGATTTTACTTTCTTGGGCTCCATGATCACTGCAGATGGTGACAACAGCCACGAAATTAAAATATGCCAGCTTCTTGGGAGGAAAGTGATGACAAACCTAGACAGCATCTTAAAAAGCAGAAATATCACCTTGCCAACAAAAGTCCGCATAGTCAAAGCTATGGAGCATACATCCTGTAGTGATGTATGGAAGTGAGAGCTGGACCATAAAGAAATCTGACTGCCGAAGAATTGATGCTTTTGAACTGTGGTGCTGGAGGAGACTCTTGAGAGTCCCCTGGACTGCAAGGAGAACAAACCTATCCATTCTAAAGGATATCAACCCTGAGTGCTCACTGGAAGGACAGATCCTGAAGCTGAGGCTCCAGTACTTTGGCCATCTGATGAGAAGGGAAGACTCCCTGGAAAAGACGCTGATGTTGGGAAAGTGTGAAGGCAAGAGGAGAAGGGGACGACAGAGGATGAGATGGTTGGACAGTGTCATCAAAGCAACCAACATGAATTTGACCCAACTCCGGGAGGCAGTGGAAGACAGGAGAGCCTGGCGTGCTCTGGTCCATGGGGCCACGAAGAGTCGGACATGACTAAACGACTAAAGAACAACAACAAGATGGGTCTCAGGAGGCTTCAAGGATGGGATCTGTACTCCCAGAGGCTGCCCCTCCCTGTTCTATGAGGGTGGTATTTATTGCAGTGTGGAATGGTAGCTTCAGCTCTGTAACAGCTTCAGCTAAGTAGGTTTGATATATCTGGGATTTAGGTCTATCACTCTGTAGCTAACAACCATCCAGGTAGGGGTGAAGCATGAATTAAATGCCACTTGTATATTGGATAAGCAACACATAGGCTAATGTCTCTGTTAACAATTGAATGTTGGGTCTGAATAAACATGGGAAACTGCTTAAACTGGAAGGTTTTTTTGATAATTGATTTATATCTATCTATCTATCTATCTATCTATCTATCTATCTATCTATCCTATCTATCTATCTCTATCCATCCATCCATCCATCCATCCATCCATCCATCCATCCATCCATCCATCCATCCATCCATCCATCCATCCATCCATTTATACCCCACCTATCTAGTCATTTTGACCATTCTACGCAGCTTACAACATAAAACATAACAAGTTTAAGAAAAATTTATAACAATTAATTAATAAAATGATTCTGCAAGATGGGAAAAATACAAAATAAATCAAACAGAGAGGAAAAAAAGGAAAGAGGTCAGGAATTAACTGGAAGGGAAGGCCTAATGTAGAAGCTGACTTAGATACTTAAAAGGTAAAAGATTATATAGCAGAAAATAACCTTTTTTGGTGTTGAAACATTCGACCACTCAGAACCAAAGCTGTGCTTAGAAGTAGGGCTATTGGAAACATTTTGTGGATCAGAGATGGGACGTCCTTCTACCTCTGCCAAAATACATTCTTGGTAAACTGGAGATTTCAGAAAACGAGTATAACTATCAAACTTCATTAAGTTGAAAATCTGAAAAGCAAAAAGAATAACTTCTTAGATAGGGTTAAACAAATCCTTTACAAACTTCTATTTCACAAAAAATCTGAGTTTTTGCATGAAAATGATTACTTGTTCTAATAGGGGTTCCAATTTTAAGAAATTTCAAGACAACATAAATTATGTACATTTTTGTGAAATGTTATAAATAAATATAGTACCTACATAAAGGTAAAGGTTCCCCTTGACAATTAAGTCCAGTCGTGTCTGACTCTGGGGGTGGTGCTCATCCCTATTTGTAAGCCAAAGAACTGACATTTGTCTGGAGACACTTACCGCGATCATGACTAGACATAGAATGCCATTACCTTCCCACTGGGGTGGTACCTATTCATCTACTGCATTTACCCGCTTTCAAACTGCTAGGTTGGCAGGAGCTGGGACAAGCGACGGGAGCTCACCCTGTTGCATGGATTCAAACTGCCGACCTATTGAGCCCAGTGGCTCAGCAGTTTAACCCACAGTGCCACCCGCATCCCAGGTACCTCCATAACTTGAAATAAATTTATAATATGATTAGAAAGGATTTTATCAAGATGCTTCTTGGTGTACCCCCTTCCTCAGATGTATGGAGATCACTCATGAGTACAAAGTCTTCCTTGGCAGGGGCATCCTTGGTATAGAATATTCTGCCCATATAAGTTGACCTAATGTCAACCTACCTATTATTTGGATGCTAAGCCTTTTTATTTATTCCAGTCAGCATTTTAATAGTTCTACAGATGCAATCTAAAGCCTTTTAATATGCTTTAAATGTTCATCTGCTGTTTCTTGTAGGTGTTTTATGGGTCACCCAACATTGAAATCTGATATGATGAACAGTGATATAAATATATTTTACTTACTTTACGATGTATATATTGGGACCATGCTTACAGGGAGCAATGGGAGGGGGCGAAGAGCATATAACCAGTGGGCACAGTGACAGTAAGTGCACAATCTGAATCACGAAAGCAGTAGAAAAGTATACCCATTTAGTAGCAGAGCAAAATGCGCTGACCTGTTTGTACCAGATCCATACAGATCCACAGTCAAGGTTAGCACCTTCTGCACTGTACCTCATTTTATGAATGTGTCTATTAGGCAAAAATATTATTTGTAAACATTCAAAAATGTGTCACATCCCCAAAATTAAGGAAGGAAGGAAGGAAGGAA